CCCTTGCCCCCTCCCCCCAGGACGCTTCCCCCTCACTCCGCCCAGCTTCCTGCAGTCTAAGCAACCGCTGCTGGTAGCCTTCCCACGGCCGTCCGAGGTCCCGACACAAGGTGACCAGGGCTTTCAAGCAGTCTGTGTCCTCTGGGTGCGCTGCATGCACACATTCGTAGATCTTCAGGGCTTGCAAGAAATCTCCGAGGCGGCGATGGCAGCTGGCCTGCATGAGAGGCCAGCGGGAAGAGTCCGGTTGGACCGCCGCGGCTCGATGAAAATAGATGAGGGCAGTCGTGTACTGTGGCGGAAGAAAGGGGGGCAGAAATGAGCCCTAGAGAGGGAGGGGGAACAACGCACATTCCACATCGCTTTCTCGAGCCAGGTACCCTTGTCCTAGGCTTCGCACACACCGCCCCTCCTGCCGACTCGCTTGCCGTGAGCCCTTCGCCATCCCCGGCAGCACGCTGGCGCCACCGCTCTGTCCCTATTGTCCTCTCCCTTCCCCCCCTCCATCGCACACACCTGCTCCTGCCGGGCGAACCAAAGGCCCAGCCAGGAAATGACCTCCAGATTGAAAGGATTCACGCGGTCGCTCTCCTGGAAATGATGCAAGGCCTGCGCCTCTGCCCCCTCCGCGTCGTAGAGTCGACCAAGCCGTGCCAGGACTTCGTCGTCCACAGCTGCCACCCCGCCGCTGACCGCGTCGATGGTGCTGGGAGGAAGGTCCCCTCCCATCATTGTGTGGCTGCCCGCTCCTGGCGTCGAGGGTGAGGAGAGAGAGGACCCGGAGGACAAGCCCAGCGACGAAGACGACGTCCATCCCCCCTCGTCCACGCCTCTATTCGACAACCCCCTTTGGTACAACATCTTCTCTTTCCCCATCCCCTTGCCTCGCGCCCTCAACTCCGCGAGCAAGACTTGGAACCAGCGAATCGCCTCCGACGCTTGACCTTGGCCCTCGGCGATATGACCGAGCTGGTAGAGGACCTCGGGGCAATGAGGGGTGAGCGTGTGAAGCTTCTCGTAGGCGTCTTGCGCGTCACTGAGACGCCCGAGCCGAAGGTTGGCGACGCCCAAGTTGAAAAGGGCTAGGAGAGGGGCGAGGGCGGGAAGAAATAAAGCGTAGCGGGTGAGCATGCAAGGAGACGGAGGCAGGGGGGTCGGATGGAACCCCTTCTAGCGGCCTCTGCGGCCTCTTGATTGTCCATCAAACCAAGCACACACACTTACAGTACAACCCCCCGTGCCACGAGACAAGGAGTCTTGGACGTGAAACACTCCCCCCTCGACTCACCCTCGAGGCATCCTGCCTCCACGCCTAAGGCCTCCAAATACAGGTCTTTGGCGGCGCCCACGTCTCCCCGCTGGAAAACGCAGTTCGCCTTATTAACAAGGGCACTGGCGTTGTAGCTAAGCGAGTACAGAGAACGAGAAGGCGGGTACAGATTGGCCGGGGGAAGAGGCGAAGAAGGGAAAGAAAGGGAGGAAAGCTGGTTAGGCAGAGTCCGGCCTAGGTCGAGCCTAGCAAAAGCCCGGAAAGGCTCGGAATCCCTTTGGTAAGCGCATGATTGGTCCCTCCCCTCCACGTTTACCTGTTGTGTTCCACAGCTAGGTTGGCCAGCTCCTCCGCCTTCTCCAATTCCCCCTCCAAGAAATAAACGAAAGACAAACTGCTCGCGGCCCACGCCTTGACCGGGATCTCTTTCCTCTCGAACGACCGCAGGATCTCCACGGCAGGGTCGAAGCGCTTCTCACGGACACAGGCCGATGCGCGCTCAAGCTCCATTAAGCAGGCCACCTCGCCGTGGTTTCCCCGCTTCAAGGCCTCCACCACCCACTGATACCCGTCGCGACCTCCTGTCGCCTCCACAACGGGTGCAAGAAGCTTCCCTGCAGCCAGCACGTACCGAACTCCCTCCTGCCGTCGTCGCTGCATTTCTTCGCGCAAAAAATCGGGCTTCACTTGCTCTTCTGCATCCCGTGCTGTGTTCTCCGTTTCTCGTTTTCGCGTCCTCCGCCCCCCCGCTGCAGCCTCCCATAGCTCCATCTCGTCATCCCTCTCTACCCCACCGCCCGGTCCGCAGACCTGTCTGGCCCCTCCCTCTTTTTCCGCCGCGGCTTCCTCCTCGATATCTTCGTCCTCTTCCAAGGGCGTGGGCAGCGTGGAGACCATCTTGGCGAATACCCGCTTCATTTTCACCACCTCCCCCAGGACCAGGTAGCACATCAAGAGCAAGTATGCCGTCCGGAAATAGTCACCGAACACCACCGTTCGCGGGGAGCCGAGAAGGGAGGTGGAAAAAGCGGCTGAGGAAGGCAATACGATGGTTGGGTCCGCTTGGCTCCTTGACAGGCCCGCCTTGTTCCCTCCTGCGCCCTGTCCGCCGCCCTGACTGCCCACCAAGGCGCCCCCCATCCCATCTTCGCCCGCCGTGCCCGCTCTTTCCCCGTTCAAATGCGTGATGGGATTCAGTACGATGATTTCCAAGGCCTGCACCGCTTCCTGCCATTCTTGAAGCCGCACGAAGGCGTACCCGATGTTGCGATACACCTTCAGGCGCATGGCCTTATGGCTCGTACTGGGAATCTGATCCAACGTCATGCGGTACATTTTGATGGCCTCGGCGTAGCGTCCTTTCCTGTAGTACACGTTTCCCATGTTCAAGCGAGCCCACCCAGCGACGGGCGGCAGCAGAGCCCGCTGCTCCAAGAGACCTCGATACACGTGGAGGGCCTCGTCCTCCATGCCATTGCCTTCGTACATGCTGCCCAGGTGCAACGCTACGGCGTATGTGAGCTCTCCGTTCATGGCGTCAACTAAGTTGCTAGATTCTCGAGCGCGGGTTAGTGCCCGCTCCTTCTTTTGCGCTTCTTTTGCTTTGTTCAAGGCCAGCCCCAGTTGCCCAGAGCGGGATGCGAACGCTGAAGCCTCAAGCAACGCGTGAACCTGAGTTTCCAAGCACCTTGCCACGGCTTCCGGCTTGTCGTCTTGCGTGGGGACAAGCGAGACAGTAGAGGGCTTGCTGGCACCGGTGCTTTGAACGGCAGGGTCTGGAAGAAACGTACGATGCACACTTGGAAACGCAGGCTTGTCAGGCTGACTCTGGTGATCACCAGCGCTTGCGATTAATGGGCCCACCTGTCTTCCGTACCCTGCCCCTGAAACGGCAGTTAATGGTGGTGTGGCAACTTTTGCATCTTTTCTGCTTTGCTTGGTTGCGATTTTCGCTTCCGTAGGGCCTCTACGGCTGGCGCGGTAGGCAGCCGAATGAAGGGGTGGAGCACCCGAAGGTGGAGGAGGATGCTGAGGCGGGCGCGGACGTCGCCGCGCGACGTACGAAGGACTATGATCTTCTTCAGACATAATACCGGGCTATGCTGTGTATCACGGTGTATTTAGCTGAGAATGAGGGTTGCATGATAAATGTCCAGGGCTAGTTTTTCTCACAGTTTTGGCGAGGAGGAACGTACGCAGCCAAATTCCCAGCAGCCGTAAGTTTCATTTTCGACGTAGAGAAATGATGACAACCAAAACTTAAAAATGATGTTTCCTAATGCCATTTGTATCATAGAAAGCAAGGCTTTGAAAGTTCGCTTCCTGGGGGCGCTGGTACTTTTTATAGTACTCATGTCATGCTTGATACTTCTGCGAAGCATTCATTGAGATGATATGTGTTCGAGTATTTCTTTCTTTCGTCTCTTATGATATCTTGTTTTATTACACCAATTCACAACTCAAACAACACTACAACTCTTTATAAATCTCCTCAGCGTCTTGCTCATCTTTGGTTTTTGCGTGATTCCCGTCCCTATCATCGTTCCTTGTCTTCGGTTGGAATGTGAACGCGAAGTCCTTTGACACCCCGGCAATACCAGTGCTTGACACATCCCCCACGAGAACTTGAGCCTCATGGTCGTCGGGCGGTGCGTCGGGATCGTCCAATTCCAGATCATCCAGCAGTTCATCCAAGCGCAAGGCCTCCTCGTCGTCCTCCCCGACGTCCTCTCCCAGGCCCTCATTCGTGGAGCGATCCCTCTCATCCAGTCGCGTGCTTCCATCTCCTTCGCCCATGGCAGAAACTACAGTCATTTTCTCTACCTTGCCCTTAGTCTTCCCCGCCTTCTGTCCAAGCGCCGCGTTCTCGTGGTCCGTGTCCTCGGCACCCCCCGGCAATGGTCGTCCCGCCTTGTACATGTTCACTCTCCGTCGCATCTCCCTGTCTCCCTCCAATTGCTGACGATAGTCACGCAAATCTCGATCCTCCTGCTCCGCGTTTCCAGCCTCCACCACCTCCATCTCGTCCGCCTCGAATTTCTTCAGCCTCCAGGCCGGCCTGATTCGCCCTTCGTTAGAATACACCTTCCGCACCAAAACCGCATCCGGCAAGCCCGCCCGTGTCTTGGTCTCCAGCTCGTCCGCGTCCGCACTATTCAAAGAGGCGGTCGCCAGCAGGTATCCAAGCACAGTGTCACCCGCCCGCAAAATGTGCCCCAAGTGGGTGAACACCCGGTACCGAGTATCATTCGCGCCCAAATCCGACATCAGGGCCACCTCCACTTCCGCCAGTCGATGCCGCTTCGAGCGCCGCGCGGGCGCCGACGTCTTAGTGGGGGCCAAGGCAGGCTCAGAGCCGAGGACCATGAATTCGACCAGGCGGGACGCGGAAAGCAGGGCGCGAAATTCAAACCCAGCCTTGTGATATTTCTCCACAGAGACTTCCGCCGTCTGGCCGGTGAGGGGGTCGATGAGGTGGAGGTGGTTCAGCACACGCAAGACCAAGCACAGGCGAGCGATGTCCCCCAGGTTCTGAGCGAGTTTAGTGGGCAGGATCACCAAATCGTCCTTGCAGACCGGGACGATCTCGATGATTGTGGTGTACTTGTAGTTGAAGACGTTGGAATGATCGTCCTGTGAAACCAGTTTTTTGGATTGCTTTACCCGGACAGGGCAGGCGGTCTCCAGGAACTCGGTGAAACGCGCCGCTTGGTTGCGTTCCGCAAAGTAAAAGTCCATCCCGTCCGCAAAGCCCTGGATCTGCAAGGCTTGTGCATGCGCGTTGTGCTTGAGGATGAGCTGTTCCAAATGCAAAAATGTCCGTTTGTGGTCCACACGCTGTCGGACTTGCACGATGGCTTTCCAGGCCCCGATCGTGTACGAGGCTTGGCAGTCAGGGCACTGCTGGTTGCGAACCACGAACTCGACAACCACTGCCTCTTGGAGCACCGCTCCATTCATGACTTCTTGTTGGACGGTCAGTTTTAATTTTAGACGTTTCGAGTGGGGCTCCGTCCAAATCCATCCAGCGTCGACCAGGCGAAGACGGTTGAGACCAGCAACCTTGCGCAAGCATACGGCCATCAGCTCGCGGGACTCGGCCTCGTAATGTGACCAGCCAGTGCCTCCGGAGCCTCCCATATACTTCAGGCAGCCACGACATTGGTGCATGGTCACGCGTGTCGATAGGCCGGATGCAATGTTCACCTGCGTCCGCAGACATTGCAGGCACATGTTTGTAGGGTTCGGCTGGATGTTTATCGCGCACATGCAGCAAATGGCGGCCACCGGCGTTTGATTTGGTGCTATAGGCGCCATTACGTCCGCCATGAGATGAACACTGTCGATGAGTAAAGGTGGTGCAAATTCAGAATTTTGTAAGATCTTGGTGGCACTCGGACAGTATCCTGCTTCTTTATTGATAGCTGAGCTTAGGCCTGTATGTGCATTGGACCGTCAGCTTTCCGTACTGAACTTTCAATGCATGTCACGCTTACATGTTCATATCCTCAGAACGGGAAATGTTAAGAAATAGTTAAAAGTTATTCTGCAGTACCCACGGGTCGTATGGCCATGGGACGCGGAAGGCCCATCGCAAAGTCGCTCGTTCTCGTCGCTGTCTCCACGAGATGACTTCTCTGAGTACTGACTGCCAGGGCACCGATACGGGCTCGCATCATTTGAAATTGGAATCAAAGAAGTGACAGAATCGAAATCTGATGTGCAGCGTGGCGTGTCAGTCCAATTTGCGAGTTGCAAGCGTGCAGAAATAATACGAAGAGGTTGGACCAGCCAACCTCCTCTCCCTCCCTTGAGCATGCTGCTACACTCTGATGTGATGCGCAAGTTACTTGTTGCTAGAAAGGAAATGGTGCAGGATGTCCTTACAGTATGTTCGAAATTTGAAGTGTGCTAATACAGACTCTCAACGTGGCAATGCCGGCCGAACGGTCATTTGTGAATATCAACATCGATGGAGGGCCTCCATGCCTGGCCTGATTTTGCACAACTTCCCAACATATCATTTTTTGGCTTTTGCGGCATGAGTGCCATCCACAACGTACGAAGGTAGAAGTACGACTTGACCATGGAGCTTAACTCGTTGCCGGCTTCCGACAGCAACTGGTTTTCATCTCATCGAGACACATACTTCCTAGCACTTTCAAAGAGATCGGTCGAAGCAAGCAGCTCGCAGCTTGAGGAAAATTAATTATTGGGATCAAACCCTTGAACGCCCCTGGGCGCTCATTAGGTGTACTCATCGTGCACGTGTGTGCCTTGAGCCACCAGAATCCGTCAATCGTCGCATCACCCTCTGTTCCTCCCAGGGGGCTTCGGGGCTCCTTCCTGATTCACAGTCCCGCCCTTCAGGCGATGAGCAACAGCCATGAGACGCCTGCATCGCATCCACTACCCTCATTTCAAGCCACGTATTCCTTGGGACCCGATTCCCCGTTGTCTATGCCAGCGGTGGGACTGGGCACTTTCCAGGTCAAAGAGCAGGCTGGCTATGAAGCAGTGAAAGCAGCCATTAAGGTGAGGAAATTTACGGGGTCCGAGAGTGCGATCCGTATCGTAACTTGGTCCGCAACGCGCCTTGGCTGCAAGGCCTGCGCATGGAGAGCGGTAAGCCGCGATGCTCACCCCCCTCCAACTCCATCACAGGTGGGGTACACTCACATTGACACGGCTTCTGTCTATCGGAACGAGGCCGCGGTCGGGCGAGCCATCCGTGAGAGCAATGTCCCACGCCACGAGCTCTTCCTAACCACCAAGCTGGCGCCCAAGGACCAAGGAGCGGGTAAGGCCTACGCGTCCCTCTGCCGATCGCTGAGCGAGCTGGGCCTCGACTACGTTGACTTGTACCTGATCCACTGGCCGGCCGCCTCGGGCCTCAAGCACGACGACCCGCTCAATCGAATCCGACGCCACGAGAGCTATGTGGAGCTGCAGCAGGGTGTACGAGAGGGCAAGATAAAGAACTTGGGTGTGTCCAATTTCGAAATACGCCATCTCACAGCCCTTCTTGCAGACCCCGCAGTAACATATCCGCCCAGCGTCAACCAAGTCGAGTGCCACCCTCTCTATCCGCAGATTCAGCTTCGGGAGTACTGCCGGAAGCACGGAATCCTCATTCAAGCGTATAGTTCGTTGGGGCAAGGCAAACAAGATCTGCTCGCCCACCCGGTCGTGACCAGCACCGCCACCAAACGAGGCATGACACCTGCTCAGGTTTTGCTGCGATGGGCTCTTCAGCAGGGCATACCTGTATTGCCAAAGACCACAAACACCATGCGAATGACCGAAAATTTGGGGGCTTTGAATAAGGAATTGCAGAATGAAGATATGCATGCCCTGAATGGTCTAGATGAATCATTGTATCGTAAATTCGCATGGGACCCATGTCAAGTCTTCTGAGTTTTTTAGGGAATGGCACGACTATGCGACGTCTGCCCCCCAAAAACAGCAACTCCACCACCATCACCAATCAAAAATCGACCATCGAGAACAAGTGCGAGTGATTTGAATGCGCTTTCGGAATTGTCTTGAGTATCAAAAAAGTTGAACGAGACAACCTTTGTTTCTTTAGTTCATTTGAAGAG